GAGGGATTTTGAAGGTTTGGGACTGACCCTGATGAGCCTATATCTGTTGTTAAATCAATTGTGGCACTGGGGAGTTCCATGGGGTTGGATGTGAGTTTGGAGGATGTGGAAGAGTTGGTGGAAGACCACAACGAAGAGCTCACCACTGAGGAGCTGCAAGAGCTTCAGCAGGAACAGCAACAGATCGCAGCTAAACAGAATCTTGCTGCAGAGGAGGATGGAAGAGAGATGGAAGAAGGTGCCTTCTTCAGAAATTAAAGAGATTTTTGCTATGTGGGGTAAGATGGAAAGCTTTATGGAGAAACATCACCCTGACAAGGTTGTTGCAAGCCATGTTGGCAACTTGTACAGTGACAAAGTCTTGGGCCATTTTAGGGAAGTGTTAAAAGAGACGCCAGAAACAGAGCTCTCTCCACAGTTATTTTGTGAGACAGGACTCCAGTGACTCTCAAGCTGGTCCTAGTGGCATTAAGAAACAGAGAAGAGAAGCAACCCCAGAAAGCAATTGGTACCTGAGGTGTTGCTGGAAGGGGATTCCCCTTTCAAACTGTAAACAATCCAATCTCTCTCCTCCTCCAGTCTCCCATACACTAAGAAGAATCTCCAATAAAGGTAAGTGTTATGTTGTTAATGTTTCATTCATCATTTCCCATTGTATTGTTTATGTACTACATCTATATTTCATGTAAAAATTTTTTTGTTTTAATACTTCTGGGTGTCAGGAACGGATTAATTGTATTTACATTATTTCTTGTGGGGAAAATTGATTCGCAAATCGTAGATTTCGATAATAGTAGCAACTCCAGGAACGGATTATCTACAAAATACGAGGGACCACTGTATGGGAAAAACAAGTCCACCATCGGTTCTCTCCTGTCAAAGAAAGAACAAATCAAGGAAGATGATGTTGCGAAAGGTGTTAATATAGGGAGTGGATGAGGTGCCTTCTTCAAAGATGAAGGAGATTTGTGCCAAGTGGAATGATGTCCAAATGTTTGTGCAGAAGTACCACCCTGAGCAAGCTGAAACAAGCCATCTTTGCAATAAGTTCAGTGACAGAACCATGTCCCATTTTATGGAAATGTTAAAGAGGCGCCAGAAACAGAGGACAGTTATTTTGTGAGACAGGGGTCCAGTGACTCTCAAGCTGGTCCTAGTGGCATTAAAAGACAGAGAACGGAAGTAACCCCAGAGAGGGCTTTTACCTGAAGTCCCCATGGAGGGGGATTCTCCTTCCAAACACTAACCCAACTCCCTCTCTCCTCCTCCCTATCTTCCAGATGCCATCACCAATCTTCAATAAAGGTAAGTAAAAATGTTATTTTATATGTATTACTATACATAATTAAAAACTATAGTATTTGTTGTATGTAAAACTGTAATTAATCTCTATAAAATGTATTTTTTGTGTGAATATTTTTTGGTTTCTGGAACGGATTAATTGTATTTCCATTGTTTCTTATGGGAAATATTGCTTCGAATTTCAGATTTTTCGAATTTAGAGCTAGCTCCTGGAACGGATTGAGTTCGATTTTTGAGGTTCCACTGTATTTTCATATGGTATTTATGGTTGTATTCTAGTTTTCATGGTCTCATTTTATAGAATGAAAGACATATTACAGAAATTGAGATGATTTTCATTGGTTTCACAATGAAAAGTACCTTGAAATTGAGCTCAAAGTAGCAGAAATGTTCGATTTTTGCCAAAGTTCAAAAGTAAACAAATCATGCCACGTGTCCAATACATGTCAACTGGTGAGTCTAATATTCTTTCATAAGTGTGCTGATATTATTTATACCATTTCTACACTAATGAAGTAGTCTGCATAACAGTAAATCTTCTATTTTTTGTGAGAATAAAAATTCAAAGTGGAAAGCAAAAGAAATGTAAGAGGGACCTGGGGACGTGACTAATAACAGAGGAAATGTCATTTTAGTGCCAGGAATGTCTGTCTTGTTTATTCTGGACCCTATTTGGAAATTGGCATCTTTTGAAATTTGTGTGAAATTGGCAAAATTGCTAATTTTTGACCACTTTATTGGATAGTTGAAATCGGTAAATGGGTGGTTTCTTGTACTCATTCGATAGAAAAAATGGTGTTATAGCAAAATAGTTATGATTTTTGTCGACTAGTACACTGGAATTAGCCGAAAATAGGGCTCAAATTTGGCAAAATCACCGATGCGTAAACATCGTAGAGACGGCTAACTTCACGAGAGCATAATTCCGTAAGTTTTCCATCAAATATCATATTTTTGGTGTCATTATGACCGGGAAAAGATTCCCTATCATTTCATAAGAAAAAATAATTTTTTTCCCCGAAAAAAATTTCGACCCTGAGAACAAGTTTAGGAGAGGGTCTCTCAACCCTTAGAGGGTTAATATGTATTTGAAAACCATGAGTGATGAGAAGCGCATACTCCCAGCAGTGTCTGGCCACACACCGAGTTGAGGTGTCAGGTGGAGCCAGGGACGTTGACTGGCTATACACTCACACACACACCACCCTCCAACACTCCCTCCACCACCATTCCATTTGAGACCTTTACATCACCCTGTCTTGTGTCCGGATATTTATCTTAGTACAAAAGGAAATGCTGGTAATGCTGCAGGTTCTAAGAAGAGAAATAACTGTGAAAGTCTGAGTATTTTTAAAAGAAAAAATGAGAAAACTGTGGGAATTATAATAGTCTCTGGCATATTAGCTATGCCCAATTTCTCCAGAAGGAGTGCCCTGTCCATTTGCTGTGGAAGCAGTGAATGGTAACTGAGCCAAACATGCACTTTCCTCAAGTCTTACTTAAGTAAGTTTATTTAATAAGTGAGTTTTTTTATTTAGTGCGCTCTCGTAATTTTATCCAGACTAAGAGAGGTGTCGGACCATCTGTTGTCAGAGAATCAGTGTTGTACCTGTATACAGCCTCTTCTCGCCTTATGACAGAGTTCCATTCCTAAGACCACATCGGTAAACGAATTCGTTGCTAAGTACAGGAACTTACTATAATGGTGGTGGGTTTGTGTCAACCACCTTTGATGTTGTTTTAATGTCACCTTTGCACCATTTATAACATTTTTAGTATATTTTTTAATGTTTATACAGTAGTGTGCTGTATATTGTAATAAACATAAAAGAGGAAATGAGCTCTAATATACATTATTTAGGTATGCATACTGGTCAGAGAGCCCTTCGCAAGTCCGAGTCGTCGGTAAATGAGTACGTCGCTAAGTGAGTAGAGGCTGTATTAGAATAGGAGACTAAGGATATCTTTCTGGATTATTATAATACTGTAGTACTGTAATATATTATATTGCTGTGACTTGCATTTTTTTAAGCTGTGACTGGAATTCAGTCTTTATACCATGAGATAAAATTGATTTCTTTTTTATATGCTAAAATTAATATTATATTAATGGAATCTTCTAAATGTGTGTAAGTCAATCAGCACTAATTAGAAGGCATTAACACATTATCATTTTAGGTATATAAAGTTTTGTTTATACCCAGAGTGTGGTGCATTACATTGATGAGTTTGTATCATAATCATTCAACTAAGTCAGTGTTATTTTGTCTCAAATATATTTTTCATATAGTAGTTCAGTAGGAAGCACATACTTTATAACATCTTAATTTGCTTATTGAATCTGAATGACAGTGATTGTCAGATGCTTGAAGCATATAGGTAGGTATTGACCTATGAAGGTTATGTGTTTAGCTTGATGGTCTTTGATGATACATGCCTAGTTAATGTGAATGTTCTCATTTCATAACTTATTTCATGGATATTTATGTACTAAGTGCTGAATGAATTTGTTTTCTCAGTGCAGTATTTTGTTTTGTATCTTGTTATTTTGGAAGTTGTATGTATCCTATTGTGACTGCTGCTTATTTTATTGATTTATTTATTTTACATAAACTATTTTGTATTCCCGTTCCCCCTAATACTTGACAGTTCTTGACCGATGTAATTCGGAGCCAAGAATTAGAATTTGAGGTTTTCGATGTAGATGATGGACCAGCCAAGGACGATTTTCTAGGGAGGTGAGACAGTTTGGTACACATTTCATAAATTATTTTATTGCTGTTCCCTATTAGAACATCATTCTCAAACTACTGAAAAAATTATTATGTGTTTAATCAGTTAATTAGTAAAAATATATTGCCAATTCCTTTATAAGACCCAGTACCATATATATGTTCTGTATATATAGTACAGTTACTGTTTGTTATTTATTTGGACAAGGGCTTATATATTCCAAAATTCAGCCTTACCTCACTTCCCATTCTGTCATTTTCTCATACAACATACACATTAAACACAAAATTTACCTTGTACAGTATTAAAGTTTTTATGTTATATGAATAAAATCAGTCTTTTTTTTCTTTCTCCTCTCTTCATTTGAATTTTCTTTGCTGTGGGACATCTCTCATTGTGGAAGTATGTATGCAGTGTGCATGACTTCAAGCCATAGAATGCATGTTACATAACTACTGTAAAGTTACCTGCACTTTTGTTAATTATTTGCTTGCAGTTAAATATGGCAGTATTAACTTGGGCTGTTCATTGGCCTCTTGCTATGCTTCTTTTTTTTTCATCTTTTATATCTATATGTATAAAATTCTAGTTTTTAGGTTCTTCACATTTCAGGTAATACATCTTCCAGTATGAATATTCTGCACGTAGGCAGCTGGGTCTACAGTATCTTGTATGATGTAATTGCAATGCCAAAATAGACTAATGCAAATTGGGATCAGCTGAAGATTCGTCACCCTCAGTAGGATGGGTAAATTAAGTTGTACTGCATAAATTTTAGCACGCTAAGGTTAGGGCGCTATATTGATTTTAGAGCTAAATAAGAAATTTCTATATCCAAAATTTGAATAAACTATATTTTACTGTTTATATTGGTGGGGTGAATCTTCAGGTAATTCAAAAATTGAAGTACTTTGTGTGTAAAAGTGTTATTTGCAGTATAACTATCACACTTGGTTTCTGTGCAGGCATTAGCCAATGTGATTCGAAGACAACATGTGACTATAGAGTGCTGGGATTATGACTATAGTCCTCTCAAGTCTTACGAGAATGATGACTTTTTGGGCAGGTACTTTTAGTTTTTTGAGTGATGAGGAGAGATTGCATGGCATGCTTCCTGACATTATCATCCCTGCAGATATGGTACTCATGATAGCTCATAAGAGTATAGGGGCAGGGCCTCTCCTGTGTTCGCAGATCGTTCACAGGCATGTAACAAATTTTTGCACATGCTGTGTGAGAATAAATGCTTAGTGCATTTTTAATTAACATGCAGTTCTTCCATACTCTGCTAATGTTCGTTAACCCAGAGTCATTTTGAATTTGTCACAAATTAAACCATGAGGAAATCTATGCCTACTTAATAACACTGAGTTAAGAAGCCCCCCTGGATGCTCCACAGAGCCTTTTGGAAAAGCTGTTTTTATATTTTATCAAATTACAGAAATCAAAGATTTTAATTGCTGAGGTTATGCTTTCAGATATAAACATTTTAACTAATTGTGTTGTGACAGTGTTAATGACTGCAGTATTTACAAAGACCTTTTACAGCCAGACCTGACAGTTATTATACTAACTATAATATTTTATACATTTTTTCAAAAAGTGTCATTAATACTCAGCTGGATATTGTCATTTAGTTATGTTATACACCACTAATTAAATATCCAGAAAGGGTCAAGGCCAAAGGAAGAAACATGAACATTGTTTACACTTGGGTTCCAGAGTACCAAAAGAAAAAAATATTACATAGAATCCCTTTATGCTACAATTCAGCATAACTGCAGAACGTACAGTAAGTTTTTGCTTTAAATTACCTATTAAATTCCTTAATTCCTTCTGCTGCCCCTCACAGGCAATATGTGATGTGGTTCGTCGTCAGACCATCTGTATTGAATGCTGGGACTGGGATGCTAACATTCCAGGAGCTAAGAATGATGATTTTTTGGGGAGGTAACACATTTAAGATCCCAGCACATAGCATGTTCTCTGTGGGAATTAATTTTTTTATATAATTTCTTTAATTTTTGTAGCCAGATAAAGGTGCTTTTTTATGAATATAGATATCCAATGGGTTTTCTACTATTGATAATGGTTTTGATTTAAGACCCTTAACTGCATTTCAAAACTGAATCTACCATATATGATGGATAATATTTAATGGTTGATGAAAGTAACCTTTCTCTAATAATTGTATACTTACTGTAAATTCTAACTTGATTTATCTTCTAGTTTTCTGAGTGCATAAAGACCATTGGTATGCACTTGATGTGCACAAAAAATACATACCTGAATTTACCATGGGTTTATGAAAGCTTTTATTGCATTACAAGTATAGAGCTTGCAGCCAAAGGCCTTTTTATTGTTAAAATGAAATTAGCTGAAAGGCCACCAAAGATTGCATGAAATAGCATATTTTTGTTGTAATTATCAATAAAGGTTAATTAAAATTGTATTTACTAGAATTTAGTTGATACAGTTTAAGTATAAATATAATGTAGTTTTTTTACCTAAATAAAATTGTTAAGGATGAAGTAGACACTAGCAATATCAAAATTATAATAAAGCTTTTTGAAAAAGTTTTATACAGTAAGTAGTACTTTCCTGTTTCTTATGGATTCAATGAGTCTAGTTAAAGCTCACATTTAAAAAATTTTAAATTGAGAGAGGCTTTTGCAGTATATTTAAGTCTTGATCTAAGACTCTTCAAGCATATGCAACTGTATATGAAAGGAAAGGACGTTACTGTACATTAGGTGACATGACATGCTGGTGATCTCAGAAGCAACCTGCCTGCCAGGGTCATGATAACTATAGAATTCCATCATCCCTGCCAGATGTTGAATTTAGGATAGCTTCAGTGATGGCAGATCTTTCTCTTGCATACCTTATGGATTCTTTGTCTTTGCTGATTGAAATGGTGAGGTTCCAACCAGTTTATCCAATTTATGAAAGTGTACAGACTCTGCTGTTTTTTTGTTTGTTTGTTTTTTTCTTTTTATATCCTTGACTTTTCTTGGCTGAGAGGTTTATGTGTGTTGCAAAGTTTGATACTGAATTTGTTAGGATGAATACTAGAATACAGAGGTACCAATATTTTTACAAGGGTGTGAGGCATGGTTTTTGTGGATATTGAAGTGAGAAGGTGGCTAGAGGTAATGGAGATGTCATGTTTGAGAGCAATATGTGGTGTGAATATCATGCATAGAATTCAGTGCACAAATTAAAAGGTGATGCGGAGTCACCAAGGGTAAAAATTCAGAAGGCTGAGGAGGGGTTGTTGGATGGAGAAGGATAGATTGACAAAGACTGTGTATAAATCTGGGATGGAGGTAGAAGGGGTAAGGAAAACAGGTTAGTTGGACTTGACCTCTGGAGTTGAGAAGAACAGTGTGTGCACTCTGAAGGAGGGGTGGATAGGTTGCAGTTGGAGGGTAATGTGAATTGTGATGTCAGCACACTTCTGGAAAGACGGCGATTCAGTGAATGATCATGATTGTGTTTTCAGAAATATGCCTGGTATCACATTTCAAATTTTCCTCTGATTGCAACATCCCCACCCCTCCTTCAGAGTGAAGGCATTGCCCTTCACACTTAGGACTTTTTGGGTTACCTCACCTTGGAGGGCGACAGCCGTTAAGTTAAAAAAAAAAATATATAAACTTTCCATTATACTGTACACAAGAAAGCAGTCATCCAGGAAAAGCCAGGTATATAAAAGAAATCTGTAAAAAATTGTGAACTTTAATACATTAGACAAAGTGATAGGAGCCTCAACACTATAATCAGTGAACATAAGTGAACCATAATATGCACAAGTAAGCTAGGCCATCTTCCAACCTGTTGAAATTTTAAATTGTAGCAGATTTGGGCCATAGGTCATTATTGTTACAATCCCATTGTAATTACAAAAGAAAATTAATGTCCATCATTGCAGCTTTCTTAAATTTCAAAATTTCACAGGGTCATTGGAGACCATGTTACTTTATATATCTTGTCTCTTCTTTGAATGTAATTTTTCATCTGCTTGTTGTGGAACCAAGACCAAAGTATACAGGAACTGTAGCTCTCATTTTTAGTTTTCTAAAAGGGGTTTTAATTAGAATTTGCCAGTGTATCACAATATGGTATAATATACATAATGTACTATACACATTGGTGAGTACACACTCACACACATTATGTATGTATACAGTATGGTGTTCCATCCAACAGTCTTGAGTCATCAAGGATGGAACACCTTTCTAGGCTGAGGGACTGATCACCTCAAATTGCATATTCTTGTATTCAGTACATTTATGTCCTGGGATTTGAATTGTTAAAAATGTAAAATTATATATTGTGAACAATAGTAGAGTGTATTGTATTTATAGTGTGGCATGTTCTCTGTGGTCTCTTACTAATGTTCTGTTTCTAGGTTTGTACTGCATGCAAGTAGTGTATATTAGCAATAGTACTAATATTGTTTTGTTGTCTGTATTTGGCAAAATATATAGTTTAATGTTTTCATCTTTTAACATTAGTAATATAATACATGGTTAAAATGTGCATTTTTAACCTAACCTTAAAGTTCAGACATAATAATAAGTATAATAATAATTATAATGTCAATAATAATTATAATAATAATAATAATATGATAAGAGCTAAATCCACAAGGGTTTTCTAGCATAAATATTTCAGTACATTGCCAAAAATAGACTTCAACAACATTAACTTTTGATGTTCATAGAGCTGCATGCTAATTGTTAACACACGCTCTCCTGCTTTTACAGTATATTTGTACCTCTGACACCAGATATGGAAATATATCAGTAATATTTGACGTATTAGATCATGACACATTCACAGACGATGACTTCATTCTCAGGTAACTACGATGCAGAGTTACTGCTACATAATCATATCCTAATTTACTCCTGAGTGTAATTATTAAAATATGTCAGTCACTTTGATCAATCTCTATCTACATGAAATTATTTGTTCAGATAACCAAGTACAGTAGTAGTGTTATTACTTTAAGACTAATTATTGTTTATGGTGGTCAAAATTTTACGAGAGATTTATTGATAACTGTAAAGTCTGTGAGCTATTATTAATCAAACAAGAAGAATGATGATACAGTAATTATTTATTTATATATTTTCAAAGGAATTGCATGCACTTATTACAAGTAGGCATTTCAAAAAAAAAAAATGAAATTTTTTAATATTGCTGCTTCCTCAAAAAATATTTGTAAAAAAGGCAGGTATTGGATGAATGAATTATAACAAAAGTCATAGTGGCTGGTGCAATTGACAACTAATCCACAAATTGGAAATCTAAACACACATTTCTGTCTTCCCCAGACCATCATCAAATGACTCAAAACTTGATGATGATCCATGGTGGACTGAAATATTATAAAGTTTTCATTTCCAACTTGTGAGTTAGTTGTGAATATAGTGATCATTCATGGAAAATCTTGGTATAATATAAAGAATTTTCAGAGAATCATTTTAGAATTTATTTTTTCCAGTGACAGAGTAAATATTCTCAAGGTATAACTTTATAATAGCAGAAATGCTTACTTGAATAATGTACAATCTCATTTCTAAGTGAGCTTAAGCAATCATGCTGAATGTTTGGCTATATCTGCCTATTTAAGCCTAAGTAGAGAAAAACTGAAGCTTGTCGTCTTAGTTTACTGTTGCTATATTCACACTACAGCTTCACTCATGGAGCTGCTACACTTTCTTCAGCTTCACTCAGACTATACATGAATCTATTGTCCCAGTCTCTAAATACTGTTTTCTCTACTTGAACATTATTTTTTTTTTCAATTATAAAGCATATGCAGTGATGTAGGGATGGGATGAAACTAAATTTTTGGTGATACTGATACTCAGTTTTATGTTGATATTGATACTATCAAAATTAACTGATACCATCAAAATTAACCGACACCCACTTATACTGGTACTGATATCAGTACCATAAAAATTGACTGATACCCATCAATACTGATACTGAGTTTTAGGCTGATGCCAATGCCGAAACCATCAAAATTAGCCTTTATCCACCGATATT